GAAGCTAACCAAAGAGAGAAGCAACCTAGAACTAAGGAGAAACTTCCTGACAGTTAGAACAATTAACCAGTGGAACAACCTGCCTCCAGAAGCGGTGAATGCACCAACACTGGAAGTTTTTAAGAAGAAACTGGACAGCCATTTGTCCAAAATGGTATAGGGTTTCCTGCCTGAGCAGGGGATTGGACTAGATGACCTCTAAGGTCCCTTCCAACTTTATCATTATTATTATATTATTATTATATTGGAGATTTGAACTAAGCAGAAGTCCTTATTGCAGACATGTCAAACTTGCGACATCACATGACGTCGCGCAACATATCGGACCTTTTTCTCCATTGCGGGCAATGGGGTGGGCACAGTTTTGGGATGATGCATCCGGCCCATGGGCCGGCAGTTTGACACCCCTGCCTTATTGGAAAATATGGTTCAGAACCTAAAGAGAGTGCTGAAAAATACTGAGTAATTAAGTAGCAGAACCTCCCATTTTAAAAATGCTCATAATGTATTAACTGAGAAGCAGAGTAAGAGGTTAGTCCATCTGTTATTAAATGCTAACTGACACTGATCGTATTTGAAGTAAGAGCTACATATTTTGAGAAATCCACAAAGACAAAAAAGCTTGAAGAATTTGAAGAGAGCATACCAAAAGGAAAAGGTTTCCTTTATCTCTTAAACATAAAGACTCATTTAATCAACCGTGAGTCAAATGAGAAACAGACATGAGGATGCTATGTGACCACCTTCCTCTGACATTTTTTTTCTAGGGTGACTTATGTATCTCTGTAACGTAATTGTATTCCAGCAGGTGGCAGAACCTAGTCTGCTTTGGCTGAACTTGAACAAGTTATGCAAAGTTTTCTCAGCTACTATTTGGATGGGAGACCACTGGGAAATCCCAGAGCTGTAAACTGGACTAGGAAGTAAAAAAAAAAAAAAAAAGCTTTGGAAGAAGACAGTGGGAAACCATTTCTCTTCTGTTGCAAAAGAACATAATTACTATTTGAGGGAGACTTTACTTTTACCTTATAAAGTAACTATAGATTATAAAGAGTTCTAAATCTGTCACTATTCAAAAAATTGTGTGGAAGCTTTAAGACAGATGACATTCAGAACTGTTCACAATTTCATTCCATATTATTCCAGTGTTTATATATTCTTGATGTTAGGCTCTTGATGTCATTTTGATCTGATGGTTTCATTTGACTGATTTTTTTTTTTTTAAGGCATCGCTTGGAAGAAGGCCAGGCTAGCAGCTGGACCCGCCGACTCAAAGTTTTCCTCTGCTGCACACGAACAAAAGATTCACAATCAGTAAGCAGCTACTCTCTTTTCATTAAAAAACAAATATGTCAGGATTTTGACAGTATTATAGTATGAGAACTATGGCTGATGATGAGAGGAAATATGGTACAAGTATCCTATCAGGATATTCCACAGATGCATGTTGACCCAGTGGTTCTCTTGTAAGAATAGAAAAGCTTTTCATAATTGGTACAAATAAACCTTTATTTACAGATAAGCTGTTCATGCTTGCTTAGTTGCAAAAAAAAAAGTCATTTGTAATGTAAGAAAATTACTAAGCTTCAAAAAAGGCCTAAAACTGTCGAGTTGGCTAATTTTAAAATATATGGTAATCTTTTATTATCAAAAATATGATTAAAATGGAGTAATCAATTATTTAGATTGTTTTCAGTCATGAAACCTTTGAAACGAATTCCATATTTGACCTTAGGCAAAAGTAAAAGTATTAATCATATTCCTCAGAACCACCTAATCTTGGCCTGCTTGTAGCTGTTAGACATCTTATTTAATATGCGGTATCTGATACATGATATTGAATTGTGCAGGTTTGTTCACCCACAGTGTGTTTGCTAAAGAAGAAATAGGTCAGGGGTGTCAAACTGCCGGCCTGCGGGCCGAATGCATCATAGCAAAACCGCGCCCACCCTATTGCCAGCGATACGTTGCAACACATCACGTGACACCCTGAAATAGGTGCACTAATAGCAAATACTGCTGTATAAAATGAAGCTACCTGATCTACTCCCCCCCCAAAATTATCTCTGAATTCCAGAGGCTAGAGATGAGAAATGTTGATCTCTATTATTGGTCTCTATTATTACCTTGCCTGTGAGTTTTCAAGGTTTAGGGTTAGAGGCCTTAAGTTTGTTGCCTTAAGGATTGGAGGGTGAATCCTAGCCTAGATCAGTTATTGTTGTTTTGACAAATATGATACAGTAGATAATGTATTGGATAGAAAGTGAGAGGCCTAATTCAAATACCTGCTCCGCTATTTTGCTTAATGCCTGCCCTTCAACAAGTTGTGTCACAGACCTGATTTGCATAATAACTTTAGTATATAACATGGTTTGTTGAACAAGCCACATTGGCATGATTCACAAAATGCTTTTATGGTGAGAGGATGGTAATATCATGCTAAGCCAAAACCAAGCAAACCACATTATATGTTTATCTATCTGGCCATAGTATTTCATATTAGTTCATCTTATTGACTTTTGCCACATTATATATGGGTTCAAGCATTGTTTCTTGACTACATCATGAAGAAAAATTGAAGTAATGTTATGTATGTTATTTTAAACTTCTTAGAAGTAAAGTTTAATGCAATTAAAAATCGATGCATTCAGCAAAGTGTAGAAACTGATAATCCAGAAACAGCTGCATTTATACATAATACCAAGGCAGGATTATTGTTTATTCAATAATGGTTGCATAATTCACACATAAACTAAGTTATAAAGGATTTACTTACATACCATGTTTTTTTTTTAAAAAAAGCAAACTGCATTGTGGTTTAATATGATGCCTTTAGCAATCCAACAAACTAACAACTATTTCAAACTCTTATCTCTTGCTTGTTGCAGATTATTTTTTCACCTTTTCTTCTTTGGATTTTTTTAGGATGCTTACTCTGAAATTGCATATCTCTTTGCTGAATTTTTCCGAGATCTCGACATAGTCCCATCTGATATTATAGCAGGCCTCGTTCTACTACGTCAACGACAAAGGGCAAAACGCAGTGCAGTGTTGGATGAAGTGAGTGTGAGGAATTCTCATTTCAACCGTGAAAAGTGGACAAAGTAGACTAACATTACTTAAAATCACCTACTGTGATACATTTCATTTTTGAAAGCTACCTATCCCTCCTGAGCTACTTACAATTTCACTGTTTTTTTATTGACAAGACTGAATTAATAAATATTTGGGTACTGAAATGGAGGAAATTATGTTTTAAATGTCTTTTAAATATGAGAGAAAATACACCATAAAGCACCAATTCTCTCTGATCTGATTTTTTTTAATTAACCATTTGACAGTTTAATTTGGTCTGAATACTATTTGTAGGAATTCATTGAGCAAATATCTAGGACAACTTGAGCAGTGGCAAATACCGTATTTTGGATAATTAACACATTACTTATTATGAGATATGGTGGCAAATATGCTATTAAACGTTCTTTTCCTCTTTCTATGTTTAACCATCCAGAAGACAAAAAATACCTTAATAGTAGCCAAGCATCTCAACTCTGCAATATAGGTCACAACCAAAGCTGTGTAAAAGTAGTGTGACCACAATTGACCCCAAAGTTTCTGTTGCTAAGTGAGACAGTTGTTAAGAGAATTTTGCCCCATTTCACGATTTTTCTTGCCACAGTTGTTAATTGAATCATTGCTGTTATGTTAGTAAAACGGTTGTTAAGTGAATCTGGCTTCTCCATTGACTTTGGCTGTCAGAAGGTCACAAAAGGTAAATCACGTGACACCAGGACAGGGCAACCATCATAAATATGAGTCAACTGCCAAGTGTCTGAATTTTGATCACATGATTGTGGGGAAGCTGCAGCAGTCATAAATGTGAAAAACGGTCATAAATCACTTTTTTCAATGCTGTTGTAACTTCTAACGAGCACTAAATGAACTGCTGTAAGTTGAGGACTATCTGTAGCTGTTGCCATAGGAAAGTTCAATGACAATTAGAGTTATTTTAATTAGTTTCAGCCAAACAAAAAATTTCTGAACAATTTCAAGGCTGATAATTATTTTAATTAAGCCTAAACGTTTGTGGATTTGAGTCCACTTTATCAGTTTACCTTACATGTGTTCTAGTCTACAAAAATCAAGCCATAAATGTATAGTTCTCTTTGAGGGAGATGGGTGGTTCAGAAATGTGAAAAATGAATACATAGCACATACTGAAAATATGTGTAGTTTCCAACTGCATTAATTCAAACAAAGTGTTTACTTTCCTTAAGTACAAGTTGAATGTTTTACTTATATATATTCTAATCTGTATTATTTACAGGCAAACAATGATATCCTAGCTTTTTTGTCGGGAATGCCAGTTACCAGGAATACAAAATATTTGGACCTGAAGAACTCAGTAAGTTTTCATATCATTTATTGCAGAAAATATGCAAACTCAGGGGATCAAAGGAATTAGTTGTTCTGTCTTTCCCTAGATAAACCCATGAATGTATCTTGCCAAAGCAAACAGCAGATGCTATTTGACAACTAAGTAGTGTCAAAGTGAAGCTATATCAAATTAATAAATAATAATAAAATAAAAATAAAGTCACCAGGACCAAGTGGATTACACCCCAAGGTTCTGAAGGAACTGGCAGGTGTGATCTGAGAACCACTGAACTATATTTTTCAAAGATCCTGGAGCACTGGAGAGCTACCAGAGTACTGGAAAAGAGCTGATGTAGTTCCCATCTTCAAAAAAGGGGAAAAAATGGATCCAGGAAACTACAGACCTACCAGCCTGACCTCAATATCTGGGAAGATTCTTGAAAAGATAATCAAGCAACGAATCAGCAAACACCTAGAGGCAAACAAAGTCATTACCAAAGGCCAACATGGGTTTGTCAAAAACAGATCATGCCAGATAAATCTTATTGCATTCTTTGACCAGGTGGCAAAATTAGTGGACCAGAGGAATGCGGTGGATATAATTTAGTTGGACTTCAGTAAGGCATTTGATAAAGTAGACCACAACCTACTACTTAATAAGATAGAAAAATGTAGGTTAGACCAGAGGTCCCCAACCTTTTGGGCATCAGGGACCGGTTACATGGAGAGAGATTTTTCCGCGGACCGGAGGGGGTATGGTTTTGTGTGCTGCCTGCATTCTGTGGATAGGGTTTTCCTTGTTTGTATGGCCCGGGTACTGGCATGCCGCACAGTACTGGTCCATGGACTGGGGGTTGGGGACCCCTGGGTTAGATAGCATCACCACGAGATGGATTCATAGCTGGCTGACCGGCTGTACTGAGTGTGTATCCTCAATAGAATTGCATCTACATGGAGGGAAGTATGTAGTGGGGTGCCCCAGGGCTCTGTATGGGCCCAGTGCTCCAACATCTTCATCAATGATTAGGATGAGGGGATAGATGGGGAACTCATCAGTTTTGCAGACAACACCAAGCTGGCAGAAATAGCCAACACTCCAGAAGATAGGCTTAAGATACAGGAGGATCTTGACAGACTTGAACATTGGGCGCTATCTAACAAAATGAAATTCAATGGTGAAAAAAGCAAGGTTCTACATTTAGGCAAGAAAAATCAAATGCACAGGTATAGTATAGGGGGTACCTTGCTCAATAGTGGTAACTGTGAGAGGGATCTTGGAGTCCTAGTGGACAATCATTTAAATATGAGCCAGCAGTGTGCTGCAGCTGCCAAAAAAGCCAACACAGTGCTGGGCTGCATTAACAGAGGGATAGAATCAAGATCACGTGAAGTGTTAATACCACTTTACAATGCCTTGGTAAGGCCACACTTGGAATACTGCATCCAGTTTTGGTCACCACAATGTAAAAAAGATGTTGAGTACAGAGAAGAGCAACAAAGATGATAAGGGGACTGGAGGCTAAAACATATAAGGAACGGTTGCTGGAATTGGGTATGTCTAGTTTAATGAAGAGAATGACTAGGGTGACATGATAGCAGTGTTCCAATATCTCAGCAGTTGCCACAAGGAAGAGGGAGTCAAGCTATTCTCCAAAGCACCTGAAGGCAGGACAAGAAGCAACAGATGGAAATTAACCAAAGAAAGAAGCAACCTAGAACTAAGAAATTTCCTGACAGTTAGAACAATTAATTAGTGGAACAACCTGCTTCCAGAAGCTGTGAATGCTCCAATCCTGGAAATTTTTAAGAAGAGACTGGATAGCCATTTGTCTGAAATGGTATAGGGTTTTCTACCTGAGCAGGGGGTTGGACTAGATGACCTCCAAGGTCCCTTCCAACTTTTTAGTAGTAGTAGTAGTAGTAGTAGTAGTAAAATAATAATAATAATAATAATAATAATAATAATAATAATAATAATAATAATAATAATAATAATAATAAAAAATTAAAACAAAACACTCAAAGGACAGATCATTGAGTATATTTTGCCAACAGTTTTCTATGATTCTGTGTTTCCAAATTCCTTTTACATATCAGCGAGTTATGGCTCTAACCTAATTGTGCCTCGAAAATTCCTTGTGATGTTGGCCAGTTCTTTAAAACAGAGGTCCCCAACTTTTTGGGCACCAGGGGCCAGTTCCGTGGAGAGAGGTTTTTCCGTGGACCGGAGGGGGCATTGTTTCGTGTGCTGCCTGCATCCCATGGATGGGGCTTTGCTTGTTTATGCAGCCCGGTTGCTAGCATGCAGCGGCCCAGTACTGGTCCATGGACCGGAGGTTGGGGACCCCTGCTTTAAAAGACAAGCAGGCAGCATAAATTGCCCAGTATTTAAATTTTCATTACAATAATATGACTTAAGGACTGTGTAACCCTTGAAATCTTTTAATCTGGAATAAATACTTCATACAAAGCTCCTACATACAATTCAAAGTCCTGGAGCACAAGGGAACTGCCAGAGTATCACAAAAGAGCTGATATGGTTCCAATTTTCAAAAAGGGGAAAAAATGTATCCAGGAAACTAAGACCAATTAGCCTGATATCACTACCTGGGAAAATCCTGAAAAAGATAATCAAGCAGCAGATTTGCAAGCATCGAGAAATGAGCAAGCCAGCACATGCTTGTTAAAAACAGAACATGCTACACAAACCTTATTGCCTTCTTTGACAAAGTGACTAAATTAGTGGTTTGGGGAAATATTCAGGACATAGTTTATTTAGACTTCAGAAAGGCATTTGTTTATATCAGCCTACTTCTTGATAGTATATAAAAATGTGGGTTAGGCAGCATCACTGCTAGATGGATGGATTCACAGCTGACTGATCAGCCACATTCAATGTGTAGTCCTCAGTGAAACTACATCTGTATGGAGGAAAGCATGCAGTGATATAGCTCATGGCTCTCTCTTAGACACAGTATTCTTTAGCATCTTAATAAATGATTTAGAGGAGGGGAGAGAAGGGACCTCACTAGATTTGCAGATGACACCAAGCTGGTGGGGGGATGGGTGGAATTGTCAACACTTTAGAAGATAGACTCAAGAGTCAGAAGGATCTTGACAGACTTGAGTATTGGGCTCTATCCAATAAGATGCAGTTCAGTGGTGAGAAAAGTAAGGCTTGCACTTAGGCAGGAAAAATAAAATGCACAGAGACAGAATAGGTGGTACCTTTTGACAGTAGTAACTGTGAAAGAGATCCATGTGTCCTAGTGGACCACCACTTAAGTATGAGCCAGAAGTGTGCTGCAGCTTCCAAAAAAGGTACTGCACTCCTAGGATGCCTCAGCAGAGGGATAGCATCAAGATTACGAGCAGTGATAGTACTGCTGTATACTACACTAGTGAGGCCACACTTGGAATACTGCATCCAGTTCTGGTCATCACAATACAAAAAAGATGCTGAGGCCTTAGAGTGTAAAGAAGAGCAACAAAGGTGATAAAGGGTCTGGAGCAGGGGTCCCCAATCCTCGGTCTGTAGACCAATACCCGGCCGCAGCATGCTAGCAACTGGTCCACACAAACAAGGAAAGCCCCATCCACAGGATGCAGGCAGCACACAAAACCATGCCCCCTCCAGTCCACGGAAAAACCACTCTCCATGGAACTGGTCCCTGGTGCCCAAAAGGTTGGGGACCTCTGGTCTGGAGGGTAGAGAAGGACTAGGGCAGTGGTTCTCAACCTGTGGGTCGGGACCCCATTTGGGGTCGATCGACCATTTCATGGGGGTCACCAAGCAAGGCTGTCCGCCATTTTTTTTGTCCGCCATTTTTTTCCCCTTTTCCGGCGGGTGCCTTACCTCCCTTGAGCTGGGCCAGCTGGTGGTCGTCTCTGCCGCTTGCCAGCTACGCCTCGGCCGGCGCAGGGGGCGGAACCACGTATGCGCGGCGCTCCCGGGCAGGGAAAGTCCTCGACTTACGACCGGTTGGGTAGTCCTCGACTTACGACCGGTTTAGTCCTCGACTTACGACCGGTTTAGTCCTCAACTTACAGCCGGTTTAGTCCTCGACTTACGACCGGTTGGGGTCGCGGCATTAAAAAGGTTGAGAACCACTGGACTAGGGGGTAACATGATAGCTGCCTTCTAGTACTTGATGGGCTGTCACAGAGAAGAGGGGGTTGACTATTCTGCAAAGCACCTGAAGATACGGATTGGACAAGGAGTAAAAAAGACCCCAAAGAGGTTTGCTCTATGTGGGTTATTTTATTTAGATTTACTGTATTAGAATTTAAAACAGAGAAATGTTAAAGTGTTTATTTGATTTTCAGACCCCCTAAAAGGGTCTCAGGACCACTCAGTAGTCCCTGGGCCACATTTTGAGAATAGCTGGCATAGGTAAACCATTTTTGAAAACAGTTATTTGTACGAATGAGTAACTAATCAACCACTAAAGTTTGTTCTCTTATAGCACTGTTTATACCTGGGTAATAAAAACCATCTGAGATTTTCTGGGGCTTTCATGGGTCTGGGGCAGTTGTGGGACTGTTAAATAAATAATACTTTTGAATTAAAGCTATACATTTGTATGTAGACATTTTTATTGCTTTATTTATTTATTGCTTTAATATACAGGAAAAAAGATACATAAATGAAGGAAAAAAGACACAGAATACATATTTTAATCAGCTGTATTTAAATCTCATGAAGCTGTACCACTCAAAATAATAATGGTATCTCTTTTCATTACATCAATATAGAACTAGTTTATGATCGATGAGCAAACACACATGATAAATCCAGGATTCTGTGTAAATCCTATGTAGCACTGTCTTTTGATCATATAAGAACATTATGTTCTGGTGCACTCTACACTTCATAAATCAGTAGCTCTTCGTGTATTGATAAATCCCCCCAAAAATTGTACATAATTTCAGCTCACTGTTGGATGTGTAAAATATACGGCACTATTCTCAAAATCATATCAAGCAAACCCATATTGGACAAATGTGGCATGAATACATATCATCTGCATAAGTGTCTATTCCTTTATTTACAGCATAATGAAGTTGATAGCCAGCTCTTTTTAAAAGGTTTATGAAGTATCCAGTAAATATGGAAAAGCTGTTACTGAATTAGTCCTATCTAAAGATCAGGATATCTTAATATTCTTTAATTATTCATTTGTTAAAACAGGGCATTTCAATTCTTGATTCCAATTCTCTGTCTTTAAAAATATTGTACATTTGGAATTATGCATGAGTTCATTTAATATTTTAGCAGTAAGGGAAAAATCTTTGCTCAATCTAGTGAGATGCACTGCATCTTACTACTGTTCCTATTTAGATTTTGTTTCCACTTTTAACTAATCAGAGGGCTTCATTTTGTCAAAATGCATGAACATTGTTTAGTTGTTCAAACAAGCCAGAATCAAGTTAAGGGTTAGGATCTTGGTTTGTTAGTAGACCACAGGTTACAAATTGGTTTTCTTAGCTAAGGTATACACTATACAGTAACAACTGGTTTAAAAATGGAAGACAAAATTTCTCATCCACTCAGCAGCTATCCCAGACAATGCTAATCTCAAGCTTCTTCCATCAAACAATGTCTGGAGGTGGCTATTTGGAGCTTAATTGAAAGGTCAATCAGACTATGAAAAGCTAATCAGAAATTATAATGTCTTGATAACTGAGAGAGGAAATTATTTCTAATTATGGCATCATGCCACAATATTTCTTTTATTCCCTTCAGCAAGAGATGGTGCGATATAAAGAAGTATGCTATTATATGCTCTTTGCTTTGGCTGCTTATGGCTGGCCCATGTATTTGATGAGGAAGCCTACCTGTGGACTCTGTCGCTTGGCCAGATCCTGCTCGTAAGTATTGATCCAGATTGTTTTAAATGTCTTTTACTATATTATCTCATTTTATTTTTGCTCCCAGCTTTAGGATGGAAGCATATCTGGCCAATACCCTTGGCATTTAGAAAATTTGTGCAGATTTGATTTGTTTTTTCAGAATTGCAGAACAGAGTTCTGAATTGAGCCAGCATTTAGTTTTTCTCTGTGGCCACAAATATTCCAGATGAGCTCACAAACAGGGAGCATGAATATATCCTTCTCCCACCACTGATCTATTTGGCAGGATGTTGCTCCTACACTAACCCTAACATTAGGTTTTCAAGTCACATGCCCTTGATAGCCTGTCCTGCATGAATATATCTGATAAAGTCATTCAAATTAATAACCATCATCACATGATTCAGTGGTCAATTATATATTAACTGTTGGCAATTGTTTAGAAATGAATATAAACTGTATTTCATTTGTAACTTTACTAATTTTACTTTGGATCTTAGGTATATATCTGAGCAGAAAGGAGGACTATAAATTAAGTAAATATTCATATCATAATATAAAATCCCTACATAACATCCCTAAAAGGCCATTGCAAACTATTAGCTTAAAGTTTTGTTTTGCTATCTGCAATAGGAATCCTTTATTTCATATTTTTTATATATACACACAAGGGGAATCTTGACCTTTAACATATTAATAGCTGAGATGAGCATTTATTTATTCATGTGTTCAAGCTAGAAGTGTTCAAAGGATTAGAAGAAGTTGCCATTAAAGCTGACTTCTGGGATAATGAGAAGAGGATGAGAATTTTGGACAGTTGCAGTCTAATAGTTTTAGAACTTCCTTATGAAACACTAAAGTGGAATTTCATGTAAAAAACAAGTAGTGTGATTCCCCCCCCCATATTATAATGATTTATGCTTTCTTTTAAAGTTGCTGTTGCCTCTGCACCACTCGGCCCCGTTATGCACCTGGTGTCACCATTGAGGAAGATAATTGCTGTGGCTGCAATGCTATTGCCATTCGGCGCCATTTCCTTGATGAAAACATGACTTCTGTGGACATTGTGTACACTTCATGTCATGATGCGGTAAGGGCTGTATGAGAAATAACTTGTGCTGGAGAACACTGCTAAAGTGTTTCAGAGAAATGTGCTAAGGCAGGAATAGAAAAGCAGCCTCCAACCCCTTTATGTAAGAGATCATTTCACAGATTTGATAAGCATGGTTGATTGCTTTTCTGTGATTACTGTCTTGGAGAGAGAAAATAGGTGGCAAAAAGTGAAAAAGGAGGTATCAAACAATCTTAAAGAAATCCCATGGCTTTGGCTTTAGTCCCTACCATTGTTTCTTTCAGTCCTATATTCCCTCGCATGTCATCCCCAACAGATATTATCATTGTAAGAATATGCGTTCGACAATAAAGAGACTTTTCCACAGGTAAAATAATGGAGCTGAGACATCTGGATTTTCTTATCAGATGTGAAATTATAAATTCCTGATGGAATTAGCTCAGGAGTTGATTAGGAAAGAAAACGCATAGCATTTAGGTAAGACTAAATAGAAAGAACCAGTTTGGTGTAGTGGTGAAGGCACTGGGCTAGAAACTGGGAGACCATGAGTTCTAGTTCCACCTTAGGAACAAAGATAGCTAGATAACCTTGGGTGAGGAAGAAGGCAATGGCAAATCACTTCCAAAACCTTGCCAAGAAAGCTGCAGGAAGTTGTCCAAGCAGTAACCAGGAGTCAGCACTAACTTGAAGGCACCACCACAAACACTAAATATTGTAATATACTTTATTACTTTTAGGTTTATGAAACCCCCTTCTACGTGGCTGTAGATCACGAAAAGAAGAAAGTAGTCATCAGCATTCGAGGAACTTTATCACCAAAGGTATTTTTTTCCTGTTTACTTCAGTCACTATGTGCTGTTTCATGCTCTAATCCTAGGAATCTGCTAATGTGCTAGTGCATCAATAAAATTTGTAACAATGTCTCAGCCTCAAATTTCATGGCGTCTTTTTTCCTCACCCCCAAAGGATGCTTTGACTGATTTGACTGGAGATGCTGAGCGCCTCCCTGTGGAGGGTCATCATGGAACATGGCTTGGACACAAGGTATTTATAGAATGCTTTTGGTTTTAATTGGTTAATATATACTATATCGTTTCAAATCATTATTTTAAAATGTCTCTTGACATATATAATTTAAAATTATTTTTAACCCTTGTATGAAAGCCACAGCATCCAATCTGTCAGTACTGAAAAAGGTATAAAAAGCTGTTGAAAGCTTTACTTTCATTCAAATTGGTGTCCTTCCCAAAAACAAGTGGCAGTTAAAGAAACAGAACCTGGTAATAATCCCACAAAGCTGATGGAATATGAAATGCAGTTCTGGGACAGAAGACAATTTTAAAATTTCAGGGAGTGCAGAATATTTTATTATATATTGATATGCTTAATAATTAGAGATATCTTCATTATTTTGGATTATGGAAAATGAACATGTAGGTTATATTGCCAATCAATGTTTCCTTTGTTTTGTTTGAATATATTTTGAAACACGTAGTAAATATTGAATTTAGTGAGTCTATATATCTAACAAATATGGTAAGAACAGAATTTATAAAAGCATTTATGACACCAGGATGCCAAATATGTCACTGTACATCATCTGAAGATGCATCTCATGCAAACCTACCTGTCCATTACTCTGTTTGCTTTTGGAGCAAGCCTTATTGCATTAAAAAAGTAAAAATAAATTCTAAAAGCCTGAGGTACGAAAAGCAAACATATGTACAATTAGTTTACAAATAACAAAATGTTTGACAGTATTATGGTGCAAGTGTAAGTCAGGAGCTGCTTTTTTTCCCCTCTGGATGATTTATGGTGGAACAGCAAGAATAAAGTTTTTCCCCATCTTAAATGACAGTGTTGAAAGCAAGGGGAAGGATTCCAAAAATGGATTTTGAGTAGAAGGGCTTTGAGTTTCATTGAGTTCAAATATTTTGACATCATTCAGATATTTTTTTTTAAAAAAAATCTAGGAATCTGCAGCTGCCAGTAGGTTACCAGTACCCATAACCAGGTTCTTTTAAAAAATAATACAGATTTTGCAAATCTGCTGACCTCTGCTTCATAGTCAGTAAATCTGAAAGGATTATGTATAAGCAATTACAAATCCCCATTTCAAGTGACATCTGCTGAATGCACTCACACAAATCTTAAATTACTTTTTTCCATCTTTGGAATTTGACATTCTTATGCCAGCCAGTGCATTCCTATGTCTTGATAATTGATTCCATCTGGTAAGTATATTCTATTATAGCTTTCTCCAGCCCTCCTCCTTATCCTGTGGAAAGCCTTGCTATCACCACATAAATTCTTTTGAAGGATACGGAATGGATTTATATTTTTTAAAATGAGTTGCCATTTTATAGATGCAAAAAGTAGCATTCATCATCTGAATTATAATAGCTGTCAATTCATATATCAGAGTATAGCCATTCTTTCTTATTGGTAATTCTTCCCATTATTAACAGACAGCTTTTAAGTTAACTACCTAACTTCCCAGTTTTAAATACCATTCCTAATATTCTTAAGTTACACTGAAAATAAATGACTCAATATATTTTGTTTATTTATTTATTAAATGTTTGCTGCCTATATGACAGGCTACGCCGTTGCCCCAGTCCTAAGTCTTCAGCTGGGTTTTATAAAACCTTTTCACTTTAGGCCTCCGCCGCCATGTACACACAAAAAAAGGTTCAATCAATCAGTCAATTTCAACTTCTTGTGGGGGAAAAAAAGATCTTGCAAAGTTGGAATTGATTGATTGAACTTTTTAGTCCCACCCAGTCTGCCGTTACCACCGCAGCCACGCCCACCCAATGGGCCACACCCACCCGGCACCCGACGATACGCAAGTGGATTTTGGGTTGCAGTTTGGGCACTCGGTCTCTAAAAGGTTCGCCATCACTCGGCTAGGCTTTGGGTTGGAACTGGAACTATTTCATTAATCTCTCTGTTTCCTTCAGAAATGTCCCAGGTTCTTTTTCCATTGATCCAAACTATGGGGAAGTCCAAGAAATCTGATTTCCCTTATTCAAACTAGCATGAGCTAACTAAGCTTTAGAAGTGGTGCTCAATGTGACATGTCTCTTTAATTCCTTATCAACACTGGATTTCCCATTTTTCTGAAAAAAGAGTCACATTGCCTCAGTCACTTGAATTAATGTCTAATTTTTAAAATGCTGGTGCAGACTTAGCTTTGTTAAAATTCAAATTTTCTGATTTCTTTGTTGTTTCTTTTTAGGGTATGGTGCTATCTGCTGAGTATATAAAAAAGAAACTGGAACAGGAGATGGTGTTGTCTCAGGCTTTTGGGCGTGATTTAGTAAGTTTTTATTTTACTGTAATATGTTCATAAAGTGGAATCATACCTCCATGTTTTGCTATTAACTGTTGAATACTATGTCCAAATTGTTTGAAATATTGCTACAATTTAAAAATATCCCACAGACTTTCCACTATTCTAAAAAACAATTCCTTGAAAGAATTATTTTTAAAAATTGATTTAAAAACCATTTATGATTTTTAAAATATTGCTGACATTAATTTCATTAAACACACCTTATTAAATTAATTAATTGAAACTAAAAAAATTGTTGAAAAGGTCCCTTATTACAGATGCTAAAATTAAAGCAAAATGTATTCATCACTTATTAAAATGTTAGTAATTAAGAAGCCTTCACAAGTGGCCATCTCCCAAACAATGTGTTTTCTCATTCATGTTACTATACTGTTTAGAACAGGGGTGTCAAACTGCCGGCCCGTGGGCCGGACGCGTCACATGGAAGCCGCGGCCACCCCATTGTTGGCAATGGCAAAATCGGCCCAATACGTTGCGCGACGTCACGTGACGTTGCAAGTTTGAAATGCCTGGTTTAGAATATGAGAAAGTGATCAATTGCCTGCATGTGCCTCCCAAGCTTTTGTGCATTTGCTATTAGAAAACATTTGCCACTAAAATTCAAAGACATCATCTGAAAACAAGAGTTTTTCCCTGTATAAAGCTGAGTGGTAGTTATTGAAAAGATCATTTTAATTCAAAGTAATGATTAAATTATTATTTAAGTTAATTTAAATTTAATTAAATTGAAGTTCAGAAAGATTTGGAATTGATTTATTTATGTATTTTAAAGAAACAACTATGAGCAATTGTAGCAAATTTGTTAGAAGATTATGGATTATGTTTGCTAAGATTAAGAAGTCTTATTGGTAAATGTTTTGGAAGTTTCTCATTGGCTATTGTAGGAAGCTATGTATTTGTTTTATTTGGTTTTCTGTTTAATTTAAAAAATAGCAATCTGAGTGCCACTTTTTTTCTTTGGTTCCCCACTTTTTCATTCTTTAAATATTACATTGCAATTTATTACTATGAGAATGGCAAGTTTTAAGAAAAATGCTTGTTTCAATGCTAATTAAATTACAGTGTTTCTCAACCTTGACAATTTTAAGGCATGTGGACTTCAACTCCCAGAATTCCACAGCCAGCAATGCTGGCTGTGGAATTCTGGGAGTTGAAGTCCACATGCCTTAAAATTGTCAAGGTTGAGAAACACTGAATTAAAACATACATTTTACAATGTGGTTTGAGAGAAATAGTTTTTAAAAAATGACAGGTAACTGCATAAATAGATGGAAATGCCTTAATTTTTCAAATATCTAACAGGCTTTTGTTTTGTAGGGTAGAGGAACAAAACATTATGGCCTAATTGTAGTGGGCCATTCCTTAGGAGCAGGCACAGCAGCCATTTTGTCCTTTCTACTACGTCCACAGTATCCAACTCTAAAGTGCTTTGCTTATTCTCCACCAGGTGGGCTTTTAAGGTAGGTATCTGCAGTATATTTAGAAAGTAAGAGAATAAGGGATTGTAAAGTATGAGCTGCAGCTGCCAAAAAGAGACAATGCACTCCTAGGATGCATCAGCAGAGGGATAGCAACAAGATCACAAAAAGTGATAGTACCTCAGAGATCTCATCAAACTTTGGCAACATAATTTCAAGCTTTTATTTAGTTTTAAGGATAGATACTGACTTTTTTTAAAAAAAACTGTTAGTAGAAGGATTTTTATGCTACATATCAATTACTTCATTAGGTACTATCATATCCTCAATGATCCGGATTCAGCAACCTATCTCTGATGATAATCCTCAGCTCTTCCAAAGTCATTGTAGCAGAATTCTCTTTGATTCTGTTCATTCACCTTATCCATTATCTTCCATTTCTATTTGCCACGACCATGCTAAGTACAGTTGATTTTTCTCATCCATCATGAGGTTGTATCATAAGCTAGTTAATGTGTCATACCTACCTCTGGTTAAATCCTAAGATGAAGAGAAAGATCTTTTGCTGGAACATGCCACATAACAAATAGACCAGGCACAGCCACCAGATAAAACTGAGATCGGATCATCAGTCCTCCTGAAAATGGAATTAGCAGGGAAGAGGCAGGGGGTTGGACTAGAAGACCTCCAAGTTCCTTTCCAATTCTGTTATTCTGCCCTTTCCCCTCCAGCCTAAGAAAGTCCACCCCCCAAGAGTAAAGGAGATATATATATATATACATTTTGCAAATTGTGAGATGGTATTATAGTGGATGTCTTCTGGAATACCAAACCACATAACATTAGGTGAACCCTGACCCTATTGGGCATTTTGAAAGCCTTTAAGACCTGATTCTTTTCCCAATTAGATGAGCCCAGATGGGTTTGTTGCTGGTTTTCTTGGTTGCCAATTTGTCCTTGTCTTTGCTGATTGTTTGGTCCTATAGTTTAAAATTTTATTAACCACTAAGAATTGAATTTGAGAGATGCATTGCCATATAAATTGGTTAAAAAACCAAACGTTCTTAAGCAGTTATCAAAACTACACTCAGAGCAGATGGCCCATACTATACAATTTAAATCTCTGCCTGGCGGTCTTTCTGTAATTTCAACAACTGTAGATTAAGCTTCAATTACTTGTGATCAATCTTTGTTGTGATATGCTAATTTTCCAACTACTAGCTTTGCTTACATTTCAGATTCTCTCTCTTGACTCTGAGTGTCTAACAGTAATGTATGACCTGAATATAAGCCAGAGTATGATCATCACCTTAACAGAACATAATCATTGATGGATTCTTTTTGCTGTCCAGAATATCCATACTAATGCTCTCCAGAGTCATCATTCAAAGATGGCAATCTTGTTCTTATTCTTCCAATGCTTTAAGTATTCTCTTTAGATGGGGGGGGGAATCACCAAAATAGAACTATTCTTGATTTTTTTTCTTAAGTTTATCCATATCTTCTTCCCTAGGAGTAATCTCTTCTTTACTTTCTTTACAATCCAACTTTATTTTTGAGCCCAAGAAAATTAAAATTCCGTATGCCCACTTTGAATTCTTGTTTGCATTAATTTGTGTTCTTAATATTTAATGTTATACCTTATTTTTCTTTTTTCATTTTCCATTTTTACTTTCATAATTAGGTCTTTCAGCTGTTCACTTTCATCCCAATGTATTAGGTTTGATCCTTCAATTTTGAATTCATCTGTCATCTCTTCCAGACTTCCTATACAAGTTAAATAGTATGGGAACACAATAAAATCTTGTCTGCAATATTAAATGATTCAGCCAATGTTTCAACTATGTCTTGGTACTTTTCTGTTTATCAGCCAGTCTAATGCCTTTGGTAGCTAATTTTTTTTTATGGAATTGGTTCCTGAATATATATTCTCTATATATAAATCTTCTGTCATACTAAAATCCTATGTGTAAAGTATTTCAACATTGAATTTCCATTTTCCTGTAACCTCCTATGTTTCTATTAGATCTCTTTTGTGATTTCTAGTAGGTATTCTTATCTTCGTGTAGATTTCTGTATACTGGCAAACAGTTGATCTACTGGGATTCCCAGGAGTAAACTTTATGAATAAAATTAATTCTCTGCAAATTGCTTTTCTCTTGATATAGAAGTACATTATCAATAATACAAACCTGGAGCATTACTACCACTGTTACTACTACTACTACTACTACTACTACTACTACTACTACTACTACTACTACTACTATTACTATTATTATTATTATTATTATTATTATTATTATTATTATTATTATTATTGATTTCATCTTCAATTTGATTCACAGCCTGGGACTGGTAAAAGTTTAACAGTTCAAGTCCTAATCAAGGACTTAAGAGCTGTTAAGGTAACGTCTAAATATATAGGCAGTTTTGAGTAAGGTGTGTTTTTTTTTTGCAAAATAAGAATATTCAGGTCTAATAAGTTTTAAATTCCCATGTATTTAGACAACCCTTTGGGTGTTACTCCAAGGACTCCTATTACTATTAGTACAACCATTGATTTCTTCCTCCACAATCGCACAACTTCAGTTTGCAAATCATGATATTTCATTATTTTTTCTAGTTCTTCAGTTCATGCATCACCTGGTATTGCAATATCAGTGAACCAGACTTTTTCCCCTCCACAATAGTAATGTCAAAAATGTTGTGGGCCAGATATCTGTCTGTTTGAATCCAAAAGTTCCACAGGATCTTGACCTGTTCATTTCCAAGAACTTTGTCAGCTTGATATTCCCAGTTATTTTTACTGCATTCAAACCTAAACTTCTGGCAAAGCTTCCAATTTTTTTTAATTTTTTTTTATTATTATTATTATTATTATTATTATTATTATTATTATTATTATTATTATTATTATTATTATCAGCATCAGCATCAGCATCAGCATCAGCATCAGCATCATCTGCATCATCTGGCATTGTAACAGTAGCCAGGAAACCACAATGCTATTGTAGAGTAGTAGTTTGGCTGCCAATTTAACAGCTCTGTTGTAGGATACGCTCATGTGCCTCCCAAGGTCCACCACAAGAGGGCAAACTGGTTTAGCACCTGAAAGAAAGACGAGTGGCTTTTCCTGCAGCAGCATCCTAGGCTCCCTCCCTTTCCTGGAGCTGGGTCGTAAATGGGCACCACAATCGCAACTGTTAGGTGTACAGAAGCTGAGGCAAGTGACGAGAGCTTACCCTGCTACACAGTGCTAGGACTCAAACCGCTAGAGCAGAGACTTCATTAAGCCACGGAGCCACCATGCCTCTTGATCTGGAGCATTAATTTCTTACTTGTTATATTTACTTTTTTTTTTTTACATAGTTAAATATTGGCACCATTTTCTTGTATCCTTTTCTTACAGCGAGGATGCTATGGAGTACTCCAAAGAATTTGTGACTGCAGTTGTGCTAGGCAAAGACCTCGTTCCCAGGCAAGTCAGTTAATTTGGAATTCTTTATTTCATTTTTCTTCTATTTATACTAAGCTATAATGCCTGTCTCAATTCCAGTTAATATCAGTTTCATTCTCCCACTTAACAGCCATTCATATACTTCTTCCTTGACATTTTTTCCAGCTATCTACCCATTTTACTGTATCTTTTCCATAAACAGATACTCTACTTTAACGTATCACATACTGGTGTAGTGACATAACCCTTCCTAACCTCTCAGCTGCCTCTGTTACTGAAAAGGGTGAAATATGCACAAATATGTACCACCTCCTTAGTTATTTATGCTGTCATTTATACATTTGTACTTTCTCCCAGGTCACTTCTCCTGAGCCATCTTACACCTGTGAATTATCTCCTGGCTATATCTTCCGTGCCATCTCCCATCTATGCACTTTATCTTGATCTCTGAGTGTTGTCATCTTCCTTCTGTCTAGCGTCTTTGTATTATGTGAGCTGTGTCATCTTATGGTTGTGTACAGTTTATTATTTTATGTATATTATCATTTGTTGCTTACCTGAATGTTATTTCATTTCAGATGTGTGCATTGTTATTTGCTATTTTTTTAGTTGCCTTGTCACTGTAGCTAGAATGCAGTTATGAATCTTTGCACAGTATTCTTTTTATTCACAGAAGCAATCATTCTCAAGTAGTTATATTAGGAATGTTGACAGCTAAAGACAATGAGTGATGGTGAGCAAGCAACTTCACTATAATGGAAATTGTAGTGAAGACGAGATAGATTCTGTGCAAAGGGGAACTTATACTGCAAATCCTCCCAGCAAAAAATTGGCAAACACCACATTGCTATTTTTGACTCTTATAAAAAATCCAGGATATTGGAAGGGATGAATGGCTACAGAAAAGAAGATTCAATTGACTTTCAGTAATAATCACATTTAATATATTTCATTTTCCCAATAGAGGCAGAAATATTAATACCTATCATTTATTTGTATAACATGTGAAATCTGTGAATGAAAACTACTGAAGCATATTTTCATAATCTCATAAAGGAAAATGTGGTATGAATAGCGATCTGTTTCATTTTCTTGCTTAGTTCACCTGTAATGTGAGCTCTAAAATGTCACTCATGTCCTAGATATAGTAACTCTTCCTGCACATATTTGGTCATCTGTATGTTTTTGGATTCCTACTATTAGAATAGTAAGCACGTGTTATTTGCTAAGCCCTTGAACTCTTGTTTGGTTATAAATAACGTACAGTATTTAAATAGAACTATCTTATGGATAATGGATGAACTCCATTATATTTGTCCTTATATTATGTCATGGGTAAGTTATATCTGATTAAATCTCTCTTTGCTTTTCTATTTATGATTCTCATAATAGTTAAACCTGCATCATTGCATCTGATACTCTTTATCATTCAGGATTGGCCTTTCACAATTGGAAGGATTTCGCCGGCAACTTCTTGATGTTTTGCAGAGAAGTAATAAACCAAAGGTAAAAAGTTTTCAAATCTATTTGAAATGAAAGTAATTGTATTAATCAGTTTTTTAATCTTTTTTTGTTGTTTAGGACTTAAGCCAATTGTAGTTGTCTTGTAATTGTCAGGCCCAAGCAACCAGGGCTACACATAAATGACTGAAGCAAGGAACATTATTCTCCACCTACATTACAAGAATCTCCCCAGACTTGCTTGCCTTTCCCTGGAAACAACCAGATAAGGCTTTGTGGCTCTTGAGGGCAGACATGTTTATGCCTTTTGTGGCTACTCAAAAGCTAGGCCCATGCTTGACCTCCCCACTTCCAGCCTAACTGGCAGTTTCCCAGCAATGATATATTTTGGATATTGGCTGGTAAGAGAACCTCACACTTTGGATCCAACTGTAGAATTGTAATTGTAATCCATAAATTGTTTTCATGTTAAATTATCAGACCATTTAAAAAAAATACAGAGTTGATACTGTTTTCATTTTTATTTATTCATCCATTTATTAAATTTACAACTTTGGGCAGTGTAAGATGTGTGACAATTTAAAACTGTACAATACTGCATACTCCTATAGCTTAATCTGTCATTCTTCTAAAGAAGTTTATGTGCAAGTTCAAGTGAGAATGTAAAGTGTCCTAGCAGCTGTAACCATGTGCAAAGCCAACTTTATATACTTTGTAGGAATATGTAATAATTAATTAACAGAAGTACAGTTACTTAACAGGAATCAGTTGGGAAAGAAAAACAAAGATATTTAAAAAGTTTTCATTCTATGACAAATAATCTTCCAGAATTATAGAGTTTGATGACATTGCCACCAAGTATGAAAAAATGATTTAACCTAATTATTTTATTTATTTATGAATTATTTATTTTGACAGTCAACAATGGAGTAATATACTGTGACAAACATACTATATCAGTTTTCTCTAAACATGTATAGTACATTTCAAATTTATTTTCCATTGTATTCCTATTGTTGCTTTTCTAGTTTTAAAAATATTAGAATTCTTAACAGGACCTATTCTCAAACTGGTACATTATTCAAAGTTGTGTTCCTTGCATAGTATTTCAGTTGTATTAATATATCATTGATTTACCATTAAACCTACTTAAGTGTCAGGATGATTTTTAAAGGTTAAGGAAGTGAAGAATATATAGACACATCTTAGCATATTGTCGTACTATCTACATATGTATTCATCTATTTATTAGACGTACATCCTGCTTTTCCCCAGGAGTTCACAAAAGTCTATATAGCACCCCCTCTTCCAGTACTTTCCACAACAACCCTGAGATTACATTGGACAGAGAGAAAAAGTGACTGGCCCAAAATTATCTAGTGACTCCTGTGATTAAGAGTGGACTTGAACCTGGGTCTCTTCAATCCTTATCCATTATTTTAACTACCATAGCACAGTTTCTCTAGAATAAATCAATAAATATACATGCAAGAGTAACAGAATGTCTGAATTACACAAAATGGTGTTGCAGCTGTAGTATACTGTATTGATGGATTTCTGCTATTCTGTTGATTGACATATTCTAGTTGAATAAAAGTACACAATGTTAAATCTAAGTGGACAAAAATGTTCAGTCTACCAAGCTGAGATACTGTGGCTTCTGATACACGTGCGCGCGCACACACACACACACTTTAAAGGTTAAAACCATGAGAAAAGGTATGACTGCTGTTTTCTTTCATATGGTAGCTTTTAATAGTGGCCAGCTCACACTCCTTCATTCCTTTTTTTTTTCTTGGATAGTGGAGAATCATAGTTGGTGCAACCAAATGCATACCCAAGTCTGAGCTCCCTGAAGAGCTTGAAGGGAACTCAATAACCAGTAACCGCCTCTGGACACATCCTAGTGACTTAACTATTGCCCTGTCAGCCAGCACACCTCTCTACCCTCCTGGACACATCATCCACGTGGTTCATAATCATCCTGTTGAACAGTGCTGGTAAGTGGGGGAATAATGAGTAGCAAAGTTATCAGGGGATTTTTTTAGGAAGAAAAATATAGGTCTGGTTTTTTTCCCCAAAATATCTCTTAGAACAGAGCTTTTCAACCTTTTCATCCATTGTACCACTTTTAGGATATGGCAACATCCGAGTACCACCAATCGCCTAGCAAGGTGTCAAAAACTTGATAACCAAAAAAAAAAAACCCCCCCCCAGAAAAAAGTGATAAAGTACAGGTAGTCCTCGACTTACAACAGTTCGCTTAGTGACTGTTCAAAGTTACAATAGCACTGAAAAAAGTGCTCCCAAGTCACAGCCGAGCAAGACACCTGCCCGCCCGGCAGTGCTCTTCCTCCCGTCCGAGGTTTTCATTGTTGTGAGCATTTCTGTTGAGGATTGGCAGCGGGGGTGGGGTGGAGGTGTTTGGTTTTTATTCCCCCCGTCTGATGGGTGGTTGCAGCAGGTTTTGGTCACTTCACATGACCTGGGACACTGTGACCGTCATAAATATGAATCAGTTGCCAAGCATCTGAATGTAAATCACAAGACCCGGGAGATGCTGCAATATTCCAGCTGATTGGCACTTCTTTAGGGCTCAGCAGAAGCACCAGGATCAGCGCCGAGCTCCAGACGGAGCCTGGCGCTGATCCTGGCGCTACCACTGAGCCCTGACAGCCCCGAAGAAGCGCCGATCAGCTGGAAAGCGACACTGATCCTGGCGCTTCCGCTGAGCCCTGACAGCCCTGCAGCTCCAGCCATCTCTCACTCAGGCTTGTGTGGTGCTGCCACCAGTTCAGCTCATTCCCCTCCCTCGCTACCACTTTTCTAGGATGGTCACATACCACCTGCCAGGTGCCAATGTACCACAGGTGGTGTCCGTACCACTGGTTGAAAATCCCTGTCTTAGAACTTTTAATATTGATGATGCTTACTGATGGTGCAGTATATGTTGTTATTATTACTTCCCAGGGAATTGTGGTTTTGTTTTACCTATTCTACACACATACAGCAAAATTAAAGAACTATCCCTCCTCTTCTCCCACCCCAAACATAACCAAAAAATGTAAAGCTAGAGAAAGACAGCACCCACCCAAATTGTTTGCAGTTAATGGTGCTGGTCATTTCAGTTAACCTAATCTGAACAGTCCTTAAACAAAGGCAATTCACTATCTATTCATCCTACAAAGCAGCTGAGTTATCTGCTTTATTAGTTGAAAGATAAGCTACAAAGTTGAATTTCCGAATCAGATGTAATTATAGTTCAGCTAAGAACTACAACTTGGACATGTCCCTGATGCTTTTTCATTAGTTTTTTAGCTTTGCAGTACAGTTATGCTTAATGTCTACTGACAATCATGCGTCTAAGAAAATGCATTGTATAATATTGGTATATATTTACACAATAAAATGCAGTGTTATGCAATGAAATAGTTTATTAATCATCCTGGTTCTTGAATAAAAAAGTTATGTAAGGAAAATGCTGTAGTTACAAGGCACAGGATTTGAATGAATTCTTTCTGTTTACTCTGCTTGTATCACACAGTAGCCTCATAAAGTGGTAAAGTAATTAGACATGATGGTTAGTGACTGCCTCATCTGATATCTTTTATAGTTGCTGTGATCAGGAAGAACCTACATACTTTGCCATTTGGGGGGACAACAAGGCATTTAATGAAGTGATAATTTCTCCAGCAATGCTGCATGAACATCTGCCATATGTAGTAATGGAGGGTCTTAACAAGGTAATAATCATTCAGTGGTTTTGGGATTGAATGATGAGTGAACAGTTAGAAACATCATGCTGAGTATCTTGATGAGGAGAACTAATGTAGATTCTATGATTCGCAGATATAGAAAGAGTACAACATAATGTAGCAGAAAATTTTCATGAATGCATCTACATTTATATAGACACATGTACACAATGCACTGATGGTATTACTTAGTTTAGGTAATAAAACGTCTGTAAGAAAACAAGCTCAGAGAGCATCAAGGACCTGTCATATACACAATCATTCAGTTTAGCTCATGTACTGAGAAATGCAAGTGCATCACTTTTGTAAAACCAGACCAAGATAAAGTAGTCTGTGCTTACATTTACTTACTTACATCTGCCATAATATCTTGCTGAAAATTACTTTGGAATACCATTGTTTACTGTAATTGGCAAGGAGACTAGAGGGAGGGAGAGCAATTGTCATTTGAGCAACAAGTTGAATGTCTGTTGATTATATTGAGCTGGTACTTTCCCAGAGTATGATAGTTTCTTATCTATCTTGCCATTGGTAAGATGTTAATTATATTAAAAATCACATGATCTGTTATAGGCTACTTTAACGTGATTTGTCCTAGCATTTGTTTAACACTACTCAACAGTAGAGGATAGATTAGAAATGAAAATACAGCAAAGTTATTATTCACTAATTTACTTTACATAGGTCCTGGAAAATTACAACAAGGGCAAAACAGCTTTGCTTTCTGCAGCCAAAGTGATGGTGAGTCCTACAGAAGTGGACCTCAACCCGGAATTAATCTTCCTGAGTCAACCCCTGCCTAGTAGACCTTCTATACAGATTGGAATTGGAGACATAACAGTGGACAGAAGGAACAGCAGTACTAAGTAAGGATATGGCTCTGATTTTCTAGAAGGGCTTACGAGGGCTGCTGGTGATCTTATTCCTGCCTGCTATCCTGTTGGTGAATATCGTAATTTCTTAAAGAGTCATGCCTTCTGTATGCACTTCTGTAGCTTGTTCCAGGAAATTATAGTCTAGTCTTATCGTAGTCTCATATAATTTGTATTCTCCTTTTGCAGGAGTAAGGCTCACTCTGAAATCAGTTTGGAAGGGTTTTATGAAACCAAGCTTCTGTCACCAGTGCAGAAGGATCCTGTGGAGATCCTGCTACTAGATACCAAGGAACGCCTGTCTGTAGAACTGCAGGACCGGCGTGCTCCTCTTGCTACAATGGAGAGCCTATCTGATAATGAATCCATCTATAGCTTTGATTCAAGGCGTTCCTCTGGTTTCCGTAGCATCCGTGGCTCACCCAGTCTCCATGCAGTCATGGAAAAAGATGAAACTCATTGTTTTTATATTGATCCAGCAATTCCTGAGGAGAATCCCTCCCTTAGCTCTCGGACAGAACTGCTTGCTGCTGACAGCCTCTCCAAACATTCCCAGGAGACTCAACCTCCTGAGGGCCTGCAGAACAGTGGAGACATCACTCCTCAGCGGCGATGCAGTGATGAAGGCGCTAGTAGTGATATCGATCATATTTCCTTTACTCCAGAAGAATTGACCCTCCAAAATGGGAGGCTAAGTGATGCCCCCAGCCCACAAGTGTTGGAGTTTGCGGAGTTTATAGATAGTCTCTTTAACCTGGACAGCAAAAGCAGTTCCTTTCAGGACATTTACTGCATGATGGTATCGGACAGCACCAGTGATTTTGCTGAGATTCCCAAGTCAGTCAGTGACCAAGAGATCTTGCTAAGAGCACAGTATGAACCCAACTTAGTCCCAAAGCCCCCCAGGTTATTTGCAGGCTCAACAGATCCTTCCTCAGGCATATCTGTTTCCCCTTCTTTCCCTCTGAGTTCTTCTGGAGAGCTTATGGACCTCACTCCTACAGGCATGAGTAGCCAGGAATGCCTCACCACTGACAAAATCCGGACTTCCACTCCTACTGGAAATATGACCAGTCCTGCCAAACAAGAAGACCTTGTGATCTCAGCCCTCTAATATAGGAGAGAAGGTGCAGAATAGCTAATCCTATAGTAGAGAATCTTGGGATAGCACTTGGAAGAGCTGGTCTCTTGGCAAGTGAGAATGGGTGAAAATGCATGGGGTAGTATAATTTCCCTTCCTGGGTGCTACACTAATGGCACTACAATGGATTTCAGCATGAAGGATGCCACATCATGGGTCATGTTCTTTAGTTAGGGAGAAAATCACTGCCTAATGCAGCTTGCTGCTTTTCAGGGTCTCATTCACTGAAGTTAGATGATTGGTTTCCCTACCTCAGCATATTTCTTTAACAAGAAGGCAGACTCATTGCCTTTCCTGCTGAAATTATGGGCTAGATGATTAGAGTAACTGAGGCTAAAAGGTCTGATAATGCCCAATTGTCATGTCAAAATCAAGGAAATTGTGGCATCAGGCTTTATTGCACTAGTGTGTCATGTTTGATCCAAGTACCTGTTTATTGTTGTCATCATGATTTTTTTATGACATGCTCTCCTGTTTTATAGCCATTGACTGTGTTCCAGAGGAATGCAGCCGCCTGCTCTAAACCCTAACTGGGTGCAGTGAGAATTGGGATGGGGCAACCTGTGCTCCTCCGATTAGCTCTGTGTTCAGTGATATCCGCTCTTCTTCTAAGAAGAAAGAAAATACATGTGCTGGAGAGTTGAAGGCCATTTCCATCTTTCATCACCCACTGGAGGGGTGAACAGTCTCTTGGGTCTCACATTGTTGCACAGCTCCCCAAACCACTATGAAATAGAGACAATCTTGCTCTCTAGTATAATTGACATCTTTATTTGCATGGATTGATTGGTCTAAACTACCTTTTGTTCTTCAAGAAGCTTGCCTATGCCCTGCATTATTCCCCAAGTCCTTGAGTATGGAACTATTTTGTTCCCATTTATAATTGCAGTATAATATTGTCTGTCTCTGAGTTCAGGAAAAAGAGGGACTTTTACTGCATATTGAAATCTCATGTATGTTTACATATCTACTAAACATTTGGGAGGTAATCAGGAAATGTCTACTTTTGTGGGGAAAATGTGCTCTCTGCCCTTCCCATTTCTCTATTGACATGGGGCCTAACTCAACTATGGAAAAAGTAAGAAGAATTGCTATTACATATCCTTACTAGAAAGTAAGACTGGAATGTTGGCATTAACCCTCTGTATATGCATCCTAACACCCAACTGAATATTATGAGCTTATGAATATGAGGTAATTGCACAACAGCAGCTCCTGAAATCGCATCTCAGCTATTAATCCTGCAATTTGGTGCTCACAATTAAATTCATGACAACAGGGTGACACTGTGTAAAATTGCAGGGATTTTCCAATGATGAAATTGGGGATGAAATAGCATTTGTGTAGAAGATAAATATACTTGATCTACAGTCCTTTTTAGGTACTAAAATATAACTGAATATGACATTAATGCCACAGCAAATTCTTAACTACAGACTAGTTCAATATACTGTGTCTGGGTTCTACAAAGTATACTAGACTCATCTCACAAGTCATGAAGTATGTCCTTAGTAAATCCCTTAAGTTTGCAGCTGTAAGCCTCTGAGTAGGCTGTTAAAATAAAGTGGTTTTGAGGAATTTTTTAAGCTCCCATGAATGATTAGTATGCTATGTTATGCTTAGAAGTTGTACGTTGTGAAGAAAACTGAGAAGAACTGTACACTTTGTGTAACAGATAATATAATCTGCATATCTACTTGTAAACAGTCTCAGTGGGCTCAGTGAGACTTTTTCACAGGTAAGTGTGCTTAGAATTGCAGTCTTAGTTCTAGGAGACTGTCTACATTCAAGTTGTTGCCTTCTATACATTAACACTGCATTTATTTGAAATAAGTGCAATTTACTTGAAATAAGTCTGCAGTAAACTCATGTGACTTCCATTTGAAAAAATGCATTGAATTGGACTGCAAAATTTGGTTATAATAATATACTTATATTGCATTAATGTAACTGATTTTACAATATGAAGGATATGTTGAAACTGGGGCCTTTTGTTTTTATATACTCTTAAATGAGACAGGTTAACCTTATTTTAAAGTGATTGTGCTTTAGAATTATAAATGTCTACACTTGAAAAATGTTAATTTAATGATTTAGGGTTATTCCAGTTTGTTCCTCTTTTTCCAAGAATTCTTGCATCAGTCAAGAACAATTCTGTCCATCTTTGAGGAAAAAAAATCTGTCTTTTGTACATAGTACAACACAACAGTAGTTGTCACTCATTTAGATTACCATAACTATGTCCTACTCCGGGCCAAGGTAACCACGTGTTCTTCACTAAAGAAATAAGTAGAATAATAAATAAATTATAAAATAAAATAAATAAGTAGAAATAATATTGAGCTATTAAAGATAAATTTGTATTTTCAAACATTCAGGTATACCTTGTGATGAAAGCACATAAATACTTCAATGAAATTTGGAAAAGAGGAGATATTGGTAAGTTTAAGGTGCAGATCCTTATAATGAATTAGACGCTCCAGATTGAGTGGCTTAAGGATCTGAGATAAACAATCTAAATTGGGTGGTTTAAGTCAGTTAATCTCATAAAAGCAATGTTTTGTAAATTGAACTATATTCAGTTATTATGTTAAGGCTATGATATTTGGTTTGCAAAATCCAGAGTTGATGTTTCTGTTTTTGCTAATATCGAATGGTTATCTAAGGATAGTCCTAGCTAATATTTAGCACCTAGAGAATTCTTTAAACATCAAAGCACTTTACAAATTAAATAATCTTCCCAAGCTAGGTCAGGAGAACCTCAGATGGAAAAAAAGAAAGGGTTTATGCTTGTAATTGAAAGAAGCCTCTATGATATATTATTTGAGGTAGTGTTGTTAAAAAAAAATACTGAGGCTACATAATATAGGCTTCTTGCTTAAAAGAATTATTTTAGATTTAGAGAGTACTGAAAATTGATGCAGCTTTGCTTGAAGAAGACTTTAATTTGTTTTCCTGATGGTAGATGAAGCTATTGCACTACAATGTCACATCTGACCTGAAGGCAATTTTATTGTCATTTCTTAGGGGTGGTTATTATTTTTATTTTAAAGTTGTTTGACAGTATCCTTAAGATGTTTCTTGCTCATTTTCTTGCCTGGGGCAGGAAGAATTTATCTAACTTGATCCCAGATTATCTGTATAATTTGGGAATTTTTGTTCCAAAAGGAGAAACACATTCCGGTGACTCATATTCTTCAACTAACCTTGAGTGGCTGTAGTAAAATGGGAATTGATTGGGAACATTTAATTGTATCAGTTCACAACATTCCATTTGCCTATTATATTCTTATTTATTATATTCCCTTAGCACTAATTGACAATTTTAATATAAATCTAAGTAGTATATAAACATATCCAGCAATATTAATATTCATTTTAACTGGAAATTATCTACAACTGACATGTAAATTCAGTGGCCTGTTGAGCTTCATGCCTAAATGTGGTACTGTACTACCTCTTGTCATTCCTAGAAAATGCTACTGTTCACATGTATGTTCCCTGTACCTTGGGGAACATTGATTTTCATCAGTTTTTTTCCCTAGGTTTGAAAAGCACCACTTTATTTAGTTATAATCTATTATTGTTCTATATTAATAGCTAATAGATTTTGAATGGAAATTATACCATTCGGATGAATGTTTGAAGCAGAGTTGGCCAGCTGATTTACACTAGCAAGTTGAATTTGTGCACTTTAACAAGTACTAAATGCAAAAGTTCCTTAAATATGCTGATGCTGCTTTGCCAAAGATGCCCTCACAACAAACATCTTTCAGCTAACATGTTCTAAGTTAGCACAGATGGGGAAAATGGATCTTTTGCACAGCAGTGTACATTAGGATTATGCCTAATGGACAGAGATTCAAAAAATATAAAGTAAGTGGGTGGCTCCAAACTGTCAATCTCTGAATGTGGCTAAAGAATATATGTGACACATTTTATCAATAAGTCTTTTATTGTGTTTAAATATAAGTGTATAACAAAAAAAAAATACTTAACAATAAAATTTCAATGACCGGGTAGCCATCATCAAATATAATCAGAAACAGGTACATAAAACATAATAACTTGCATTTTGTTTAATTAATTGCACAGCTTAAAATAATTTATTGCTGTTCAGATGAATTAGTTGAAGGTTGTTTCCATTATAGATAACTGAAAAAAGGTGTTCTTAAAATTTACCCAGATCAATAGTGTTATGTTAGTTCTTCTGAATATGTTTGTTTCAGACATAAATCCTATTATTAAAAGAGTTGTGCCAAATGTGATGAATGGAAACTTCATCTTATGGTAATTCATGTGGTTTTAAATATACGTTGATCTTTCCATAATTTTGTTCCTTTTCAATAATCTGCAGTTTTCATTTCCTATTCTATAATTTTTCAAACATGTTCATTATAATTATACTTTTATCAACTTTTCCCCTGTATTCTTGATGCTAAATTGATGCCTTCTCTTTGTCATCATTTCATCTTAGCACTGGAGTCATCTTATTGTTTCAAAAACCTGTTTTCTGTTATCAAGCTTTCCCACATTTTAAAATTCAAAACTATCCATGAGAGTGCTATTGTTCCAAGCCTGTTTTCCAAGTATTCAAATTACCATATTCAAATTACAATTCTTCTTCCAAATAACGCATCCTTTGTTCTTCAGATTGCCATGGGAAATACGATTATACAAGTGTTGCTGAATAATGCCTTTGATGAGCACATAATTTCTCCTTCATGTATTTTGAAAACTTTGGGTCTTTTTTTTTGTGCAATTAATTACCATTTCTCCTACTATGCAATTGTAATTTTGAAGTATCAGTGATCAGCTTTAAAAAAAACATACTTATGAGGAATGGCTATATGCTACAATTTTGCTTTACCCTACGGTTTCAGGAAACCTGATGCATTGTCTCTAGTTCAAAGCCAGCATTCACTTAATAGGAAAGGTGATGGATGGCAGCTAGAATGTCCATCCTTAAAATTTGGGGAGGGAGGGGTATTACTGTATAATGTGTACTGCTAAAGATAAAATTGTACAGAATGAATCCTATGAAATCATCTGACACTTCCATAGTCCATCCTGCCTAGGATTGGCTGTTCTGGTCATGTTTTTTCAGTGTCTCAGGCAGAGGGTTTTGGACTTGTTAAAGATTGAATCAGGGATTTTACAGAGATAAATTATGTATTCTACCATTGATTTATGGCTTTAACAATAACAGCACTAGCAAAATAGTCCCTGATTAAAGCTTACACTAAGAAGTTTTAAATTTAAACTGAAAAATATCCAAATGATTTCACCAGAAAACATCTAGCTAATGTTCCATAAATTTTAATTTATAATATTTAATTAAATCATATTTTATATTCAAGCCTCAAACTTGGGGCCTATTAAAACCTAGAAATGTGTAACAGAAATATGCAGGTTTTTTGCACAATCTATCTTGATGTCCTTTGTTTCCGAATTGTAATTATTTTTTTCTTTAGCACCTAGTATTAATGCTAGTAGAGTAAGTGACATTGAAATATTGAAATCAAGTGACATTGAAATCATTGAAATCAAAATGTACAAATTAAGATATCTTATTGAACATAGTGTATTCTGTTCAGATAAATGTTATCTTTAAACATTATT